GGATGGGGGCTCAGGAGGGGTGGGGCGTCGAGAGAGGAAGGTGGGGCTCAGAGAGGGGGTGTGGGTGGCGTCAGTATGGGTGGGGGCTCAGAGAGGAGGGTGGGGGCTCAGATTGGGTGGGGGCTCAGAGAGGGGGTGGGGGCTCAGAGAAGGGGAGCAGCTGTGACAGCCGGGCCAGCCTGTGTAAGATGGGCCCAGGGTTCCCACGGGTATCATGATTCAGGGTCACACGCTGCCTCCAGGAAGTGTCCTCCATCCTCCAGGCACACCCTCCTGAGGGCTCCTGCGAACGCCTGAGCTCTGAGGTCACTGTGAGCTCCTCAGTGCACAGTCAGTGCCCAGGGGCAAGGGGACAAGGATACCTGAGGGATGGGCCACCTGGGGCAGTGGCCAGGCCTCCCTGCATGGGATCTCGGCACACTCGGGGCCTGGCGGGCCCACCTAGTGCCCACACACCTGCTCACTCTCCTCCCTGATGACAGAGGGAGCAGCTGTGCCACGTGGGCTTGTGGGTTCCCTCTGAGCGGGTGGGCATGTTCAACTTTACCCGGCTGTGCAAGCACACGTGTGATACGTGTGGAGGGAGCATGGCTGCCAGCATGTGGCCCCAGAGCTAGGACTCCCTCACCTGGGCAGAGGACAAGGCCTTCGGTGACCATCCCTGCCCAGTCATGGCTCTCAGATGTGGGGGCCCCGAGCCCTCAAGACACCTGGGATTCCTGGGCTGGATCCAGACATTGTCCTCAGCCAGAAGAGCAGAGGAGAGGACTGTACCCCAAGGCCAGCCTGCCCTGCTCAGGGCAGTGGGGCTTCACTCTTGCTTAGAAACAGGTGAATCTTGGGTCAGCGAGAAAGCCCTGAGTGGTTTTATTGACGCTGATTTAAGTTGGCACACGCTCAGCTGCCAGACAAGTTGCCCCTTCATGTCCTGACGAACAAGTTCGTGCCCGAAAACCATAAATGCTCTAGACAGGCATCGCTGTGCAGAAGAGCACAGGAGGCTGGCCACGCAGGCCCTGCCTCAGGCCTCTTAGACGCGGACCAGACGTTGAAGAAGAAAATGTGAGCCCCAGCTGAGGGTCTGGGAAGGACAGGCTGCACCCCGCCCCGTGTGCAGCCGGTGGCCCCCAGGTATCCTCTCTCCACTGGAACCACGGCCATCTGCAGCCAGCCCAGACCAGAGACACGCAGGGTGGTGGCAGCTAGGATGGGTCGGCAGGTCTGGAGAGACCAGTCAGTCCAGGCAGCAGTCACAGGTAAACGTGGCCCTGGGTGGACACGTGCGTGTAGGGGCCCTGACCTCCAGCAGCTTCAGGCCAGTGTCCGCCGCCAAGTGGACGAGGACCGGCAGCACCTGGGGCCCAGGCGGCGCAGCAGATAAGGACAGCCGGGCCTCTTGGACGTTTGTACAGAACGCATTTCCACTTAAAAACAGACAAAAGTCAGCAGAAAACCAGACAACTCACTTCCACAGCTGTCTGGACGTGGCTGGAACCTGCAGGCCTCGGCCTCGCTGCTCTCGGTGAGTGTGGAGGGTCTGCCCACCGTGTGCTCCAGGGCGGAGGAGCGCCCCGCAGCCTGTTGGCCCCTGGGAACTGTCTCTCCCAAGGGGCCTGGACCCCACGTGGCCTGGTTGCTGAGCCTGTTTCAGACAGAGGCTGGACTGATGCTCCAGGTCAGTCACACTGAGCAGCCACGTGTGGAGAGGAAGAGCCTGCAGGTGAGCCCAGCTCCCACTTAGCGTCTGTGGCCAGAGACGGATGAGCTGAGCCAGGGCCGTGTCCAGGCCCGTCCCGGGGCTTTGCTGAGCAGCACCTGGTCTCTGTGCGCTGGGCTCCCTCCACGGTGACGTGTGGGTTCAGACGTTGCTGACTCGGGCCTCCACTGAGGAGACAGCGGTGGGACCCACGTCCCTGTCATCCAAGGGCCGCTCGCGCCTGACATAGCGTGGCTTCCGCACTGAAACAGGGCCAGTGACAGGTGGGGTCAGAGCGGGCCCCGGCCACAGAGGGCCCAAGGCTGTGGCCCTCGCTGGAGCCTGTGGGAGTGGGGGGAACCGCCATGAGGGAGGACCGCCCACTGAGCCCCAGCTCCTGCGCAGCCGCTGCGATGGGGAGAGCTTCTCTGGGCCTGGACACTCGGTGCCCCTCAGCCTGGGCGAGGGCCTGGCTCTCCAGAAACACAGAGGCACAGGGCACATGGTGCTCCAGGGCTAGG